ATCAGATCAAATTTGATACACAACATGAGAACATGCATATTTATCAGTACAATCAAATGAAGTATGACATAGTATACATTCATATTAATCTTGTTCAATTATAGACTAGTCAATACAAAAATATATTTATGCTGATAAAATAAAATTAAAAATCCAAAGCAATAGCATTTTTAAAATCACAAAATAAAACCAAAATAAGGTAAAATAAAAAATATGTCAATTTCTTATTCCAATACTTCTAAGTAGTGAAATTGGAATATGTCTCAAATGAATCTAAGTAGGTCAGTACAATCTGAAATATCACTTGATATTGTTGCTAAAAAAGAACAGTATTTATCTTACTAAAAACACCATACAAAACCATAAAAACACAATTTTAAAACTATTTTTATTCAGGTAGAAAATAACTATTACATAAATCATTATACTTACAACAGTCTGTACACTGCCTGGTTTTTGAATACGTTGACTTTTGAGTACTTGAAATACATCAATGACTCCTTCAGTTTTACATTTATTAATTGTTGTAGCAGCTGCACAAAACATTGCTGAACGACTAACTGTATCACTATAAAGAAGGAAATAAAAATCAATATTTAAATCACATTTCTTTCTTACCTGCAGTGTACTACAATGCTTGTGTTTCCTCTTTTCCTTTGTGTTCTGTACATTTCTTCTATTACCAACAGTATAGTCTGAGGGTTAGTCAACTTTCCAGTTGAATCCCAATTTGTTATCTGATACTGTGTTACACTTTGCGTAGCACCAGTCTATATAATTATGAGAATTAGTACTTGTATGCATGTACTATTATTTGTATCTTACATTGGTTTGTTTAACTTCAAATTTCCTTTCAATATATCCATTATGCGTTTCTTCACTCAATAGTTTAATATTGTATTCTCCTAATATCATTCCACTTGGTGTTGAAGGCCAGTACTGATAGCAAACTTCCTACAATAATCATGACAAATATCTCAATAAAATGTTCATTTTTGTACTGCTAACTTGATTGTTTTCATTTTCATGGCATAGCATTACAATAGCAGTCACATTTCTATCATCAATCATCTTCCAGAAGTTTCTAGCTGTATTAAACATTGGACTCTCTGCAATTATGAATGCTTTCTTTTCTTTGTAACCCTAAAATGATAAGTATATACTTATGATACAAGGAACTAGTGACAATGCATTACATTAATAAAAGCTGCATTGATGTAATCTGGATGCTCTCCTTTAAGGGGTACTCTGTAATTATCAGCTGTGAATAAAACAAAACATAAATGGTTTACACTCTTAATTTTTGCCTATACATACGTGGTAGGAATTGCTTTGATCTGTTCTTGTCTTTATTCTGTGATGCAATATTATGTGTCACTTCATCTGGTCTTTGTGTTACCTGCTGCAATACCTAATTGATGGGATAATAACATTGAACCTTTCTATAATAAATAATACAGTAAATTGTTCTTCATAACCAGTTTGACCAGTTTTAGTATTAGGTTCATTCATCCTGTTGAATACAATACGAGCA